TATTTAGTTATGCCTATTGTGTTTACTATTGTGGGTAAATTTACGTTGAAGTGAATGGGTCACGCTTTGTTTGGCCCCCAACTCACCTCTTTCCTCCTTAGCCACAGCCAAAAGCTGCCCTTCTCTGCCTCTTCTGCCAGTTCCCTCGTGGCTTTCCTGCGCCCTGCTCCTGGACATCCCATGTCGCGGAGCAGACGGACAGATAAACAGATAAAACTAACATGCCAAAATGCCAGCCTTACTGTAGTGAACGTCTGCTCGTATTTAGAGGGTAGTGGAAAGTCCGCACTTCTTGGGTCCTTGCCAGAGTTGGGGGACGTCCGTCTGGTTCCATTGTGTGCAGAGAGTCCTCTTGGTTCCGAAAGTCCGCTTCGGGAGGAAAAGTCTCTGATTGTCAATGTGCCAGTTCACACGATTACTGTTAGAAGGAATCCTGTCGCTTCTAAACTTTTAAATAACTGCTTTGGTGGCAGCGCTACGTTACTTTACGTAACTTAATTACCAGTTAACTCAGTTAAGAAAAGGACGCTACTAGTGCATTTATCACCGTGGGCAATGGTGTCTACAAAAGCGCGTTGGTTCTTATTCTTCTGAGACAAGCAGGTTTCTCTTTTCATCAGGGGTCCCACGGAGAGAAAAATCCTGAACAGAGAGACTGAAATTTAAAAGTTGCAGAGGTCACTGATCATGACGTATGTGGAGTTACTGGAGGCAGTGGAATTATAGGAGTTAGAGTCCTTAAAAGGACTGTGGTAGTACCTACACATTCCATAGATTGGGTATTTTACAGCAACTCTCTGTGTGCATATTGATAATCATAGGGGTCATCTTGATACTACCCATCATATTAACCCTGGAAGAACCACTGAGGAACAACAGCACCACTGACCACCCATCAACGATGAAAGATCCAGCAGAGCAACACCATTCACACAAGAGAGTAAAAAGAGAAAACACTGAAGCAACGAACAGTTCTGAATGTTTAAATAACTATGGTGGTATTACTCTTGAATATACATTAGGTGACACAACGGCATATACGTTTGAGCTGCGTTCAGTAATTAATTGCGACAATTGGAATTACACTAGCGTCAATCTTCCCACCAATTTCTAATAAAACCAAAACAGGAGCATTTACTCCTCATAAAGGCAAAGGAGACTATGTGTGTTTTAATTTTACCCATTCAAATCCCAAAGTAAATATAGGAAAAATTGATCCATCCTGGTGCAATGTCACAATGAGTGGCAGTATGATTGGAAGATGGGGACGGGACGGGACGGACTGTATAATTACTGTGGTGAGCAAAGATTCAAATCCCACCGAAGGCGGTTGGAATCCGTGCACTAGTACGATTGGGAGTTCCTTTGGCCATAATCGGGCCAAATAAACTAGTACCTGTGGGTATAACCTCGCATTTAGGGGCAACCCTAACAGGAAGAACAAGACGTCACATGTTGAAAAAGAGAGATTCAAACTCTTTTGATTTTAACCATGCGGTGTTCACGTGCAACTTCTGAGCACTGATTGGTAAAGACGGCTCCAAACAAGGATTCTCCACCAATAGGAGGTATGTGCATGTGCTGTAGTTAATCAAGTCAGATAAGCCCATGCAGTTCGGATGTTTTTCTCTTTTTGTCTTTTGTTGGTCTTCCATCGGTCTCCTTATTTGGGCAAAGAAACCAGTTCTGGCCAGTTCTGTGTCCTGTCTCTATCTCCAAGTGTAACAGTCGGTACCATTCAGTGCTGTCCATTTCATCCTGTTATGTAATCCACCAGCATGCACACCTGTCTTCCCACTTTCCCTTTTAGTCCAGCATAATAACAGCATTCTTCTTCTTTTTCTTTCGGCTTTGTCCCTTTTTTTTTCAGGGGTTGCCACAGCAAATCATGGATTTCCATCTCTCCCTGTTCTCTGCATCTTCTACTCTGACTCCAACTATCTGCATGCCTCACGACATCCATATATCTCCTCTTTGGCCGTCCTCTCTTTCTCCTACCTGGTAGCTCCATCTCTAACATTCTTCTACCAATGTATCCACTGTCCCTCCTCTGTACA